CTCAGCCTCCCAAAGGCACGGGATTACAGGCTGAGCCACCGAGCCCGGCTTTAATTTTTAATTTTTGAGTTAGAGTCTCAATCTCTTGCCCAGACTGCAGTGCAGTGGCATGCTCCTGGCCACCACAACCTCGACCTGCTGGGTTCCAGCGATTCTTCCGCCTCAGCCTTCTAAGTAGCCAGAACTACAGGTGCGTGCTACCACGCCCGGCTAGTTTTTGATGTATTGTAGAGATGAGGTCTCACCAAGTTGCCTGGGCAGGTCTCGAACCCACGGGCTCAGGCAGTCCACTCACCTCGGTCTCCCAAAGTGCTGGAATTACAGGCTGAGCCACCGAGCCCGGCAATGCAGAGTTCTCTGTGAAGTCAGAAAGTGTTGTGGAGTATTATAGTTTGAAGGAACCTTTTAAGAGGCTCAGCTAATCAGGGCACAGTGACTCAAGCTTATAATCCCAGTGCTTTGGGAGGCTGAGGCAGGAAGATTACTTGAGGCCAGGAGTTCGAGGTTTCAGTAAGCTATGATTGTCCCACTGCACTCCAGCCTAGGTGACAGTGTGAGATCCTGTCTCTAAACAATAAATAAATTAATAAGTCAGCTAATTGACTGCCCTTTTCATTTATAGCTGGAATTCAGAAATGGCTAAGGTACTTAACTTAAGAACACACTTTTCTAGTAGCAAAGGTGAAACCAGAACTCCAGCGTCCTGACTTGTCCTTAGGAAATATTTTGTAAAGGAAGAAGAAAAAGAATGCAGTTACTCTAAAACAGTTGGTAGAATTTGGTTACCTATAGTAAAAATAACACTTTAAAAAATTTTTTTATTTTAAAGATGTGGGGCACAATTCAGGGTTAGGTGTACAAATGGTAATTGTACAGGTAAAGTTTGGGTCTCACTTTGGTCCCTACTTCACCTGGTTTGAGATCAGGTACCCTTATTGATGAACTGTGCCTCCCCACCCACCACCGGCAGTTTCTTACTACTGCCAATCCCTTTCTTATAGTATTATGATAATTGTTTAGGGTCCGCTTATGAGTGAGTACTTCGTTCTTTGTTTCTGTGATAGATCACTGAGTATTATAGACTCTAAGTTCATTCAAGTTGCTATGAAGAACATTTTTATCTTTGAAGGACAGACAGCAATAACAAAAGTAGAATGGTTGAGAAGGGCCAGGTGTATTGAGCCTAAACCAGGCTTAAGGAGTAGGTTCTGGTCAGGTACTACCTTAAGTTACTATCTGTGAGTAGATATTATAGATTACACCCAATCTTTTTTGTATCCTCTGTCTTTTTCCAAAACTTCGGAATGACACTTAAATATCCCTAAAGTACTTAAAATGCAAGTCATAACAACTCTTTCTCTCAATCCTTGTCCCCACACTTTGCTTGTACTACTATATTCTGTTTCTCTATCTAGATTTCCAAGCTAGACCTTCCATTTTATTTTTCTCCTATTGTTCATCAAGTCCAATCACTTTTATTTCAGAAGTTGTTCCTTAATCTGGTTCCTCTCCGTTCACACCACATCGCTACTACTTTGGTTTCAGACCTTTATTCCACTTGGTTATCCGCACTTGGCATAGTTTTTTTTCCTAAACGAGAAATCTGATTATTCACTTTCCAACTCTAAAAATTTAATTGGGCCAGATGAGGTGACTCACACCTGTAATCCCAGTACTTTGTGAGACTGAGGTGGGAGAATTTCTTGAGTCCAAGGGCTCAAGACCAGTCTAGGCAACATAGTGAGACCTCCTCTCTACAAAAAATAAAAAAAATTAGCCAGGCATGGTGGTGCATGCCTGTAGTCCCAGTTACTCGAGGCTGAGATGGGAAGATCGCTTGAGCTCAGGAGTTTGAGGCTGCAGTGAGCTGTGATCATGTCACTGCACTCCAATCTGGGTGACAGGGCAAGACCTCAACTAAAAAATAATAATAATAATGATAATAGCTACCCATTGCCTACAGAATAATATCTCAAACTTAATATAGAAAACCCTTCTTAGTTTGGCTCTAGCCAATATCCTTTTCAATGTTCTGCAACTCTTACCTGGAATGCTCTCTCTGTCTATCTGGAAACTCCTATTATTTTTCAAAACAAACTTTTTGAATTCCATAGTCCGATGTCAATTTTTTTCTATGACCTTGTAGTACTTGGTGTACACTTCTATTAGAGTATTTTTAGACCATTGTGGTTGTTTGTTGTTCCTCCCTTCTCCCAGTATACCCTGTTCATGAAAAGGAATGTTCTTTATCATCATCTTTGTAGTACTGATCTTAGCTCAATGATTGGCACATAATACTTAGTAAAGTGATTAAAATTTTAATAAAAGTAAAATGAAATAAATGTTATGATGGGGAATAGGAAAGAGAACTGGATATTATAGAGGACTGTGAATAGCTGAATATGGATTTTTTTGAGGACCCTACTCTTATCTCTTAGTATCTATAGGCTAGTTTTTATCTTAGTCTCTCTGTACTGTCTTTTATATCTTTCTGTTAGCCATCATATCCACTTAAGGGGACTTAACTATCTCATGCTGCACTCTCATATGCAGATTCTCCTTTTCTTTTTTTTCAAAATTGGGTCGTTAGCATGTAAATATGAATGAAAGATAATCCTTTTGGTAGATGTTTACATTTTATTTTATTTTTTGAATGGAGTCTTACTCTGTTGCCCAGGCTGGAGTGCAGTGACACAACCGTGGCTTACCACAAGCTCAGACTCCCAATTAGGTGGGACTACAGTGTACACCACCATGTCTAGCAAAAAAAAAAAAAATTTTTTTTTTTGTAGAGGCAAGATCTCGCTATGTTGCCTAGGCTAGTCTCAAACTCCTAGGCTTAAACAGTCCTCTCGCCTCAACATCCCAAAGTGCTAGGATTATAGGCATGAGCCACCATTGGCCATCTTAACCACTTTTAAGTGAATAGGTCAGTAGTATTCAGTACATTCAACATTGTTGTGAAACTAATCTCCAGAATTCTTTTCATCTTGTAAAATTGAAACTATACTCCTTAAACAAATTCCAATTTGTTTATGGCCCAGTTCCTGGCGACCATAATTCTACTTTCTGTTTCTTATTAAATTGACTACCCTTTTGTGACTATTTTATTTCACTTAACATAATGTCCTCAGGGTTTATCTATGTTGTAGCATGCATCCGAATTTTAAAAAGGTATTTATTAGCCAGCTCTCCCTTTAGTCCTAGCTACTTGGAAGGCTGAGACAGGAGGATAACTTGAACCCAGTATTTTTAGGCTGAAGTGTGCTTATGGTTGAGCCTGTGGATAGCTACTGCACATCAGCCTGGGCAACATAGTGAGACCCTATATCTTAAAAAAAAATTAAATTAAAATGAAAAAGGCATTTGTTAATCTAAATAACTCTTAGGCAATAAAATATCTAAGGCAGATTGTTCTGAGCAGGGTTGCTTACTAGTTCCTTTAATGGGTTGGAATTAAGGGAATGAAGGAGGACTGAGACTTGGGGCTTGAGGTATGCTAGATAAGTTATGAGGAATTGATTCAATGGCAGTAATATTAGGTAAAAAGAATAGACTTGTTTATTTGATTTGTTCTTTCTCCTACTTAATGTTTTGTTTGTTGGGAAGGTAAAGGAGAATTTGTGTATTATATA